TCCTCCCTGGTTTTTGGGAGACTTACATTTGAAAAGATTTTCTTTGATTTTTCTCTTGTTCTTCTGGACATGGACTTGACTTGACGTGCCATCGAATTTCAGCACTCTAGCCCTCCTGCAATATCATGACTGTACTTTACATGAAAAACAACTTCAAAAACAACTCAACACATTTGTCAATAACACTGACCTTAAAAAAGAGAGTATAAAACGAGTGTATTTGGTGATGCTGCTTTGGCAGTGTTTTTGACAGAATGTTTTTGTTGTAAGTTGTGCACGACTGCTATCGCTACAAAGAAGGGACCATTTCCCTAAACATCGCCCGGTTATGTTTTCTTCTAAGGCCGCACATTGTTATGGACAGAACGTGTTGAGGTTTTAAAAATATATATTTAGGCGTGTCGCTGAAATATACCCCCTGCATACGATGGTGGAACACGTAAGTTAGCACGAGCAAACTTGGGTGAATGCATCTCATTTCAAAAAATGCCATACATCAGTGGCAAAATACCACGCACCTCAAAATGGAAATACATAACTTTACAGCTCCACCATTGAAGAAATGCAGGACTGGTGGAGCAGTGGAGTGGCGGTCTACCCCGCTGCGCCACAAGTTCACCGGCAGCCTCAGTTGGCTTCCCAGCCACACGGCTAACATCAGTGGCGAGTTTATATCTGAACCGGCCCTTTGACCATCCCGCACTGACCAGCATGGTGGAGTGACTGTCAGTCAAACTAACTTCCTGTCACCGAAATGGCCCTTATCCAGCAGTGGATTGACAAAGGGCTGAACGTGATTAAATTTTGTTTTATTCCAGTCTGTAAATACATACAAAAAAATGTTTTTGGATGATGGCCGCTGTTCAAACGTGCCAGTGCACACTGACGTGTGCTCCACATGGTATGTAGGTAGGTATGTAGGCGGGTTAGTAACATTTTAAACAAGTCAACTTTGTGTTTGTGCGTTTTATTTTAGAACCGAGTGAGTGTGTGTGTGTGTGTTTGTTTTGGGGTGGAGCCTTTTGGCGAAGTCGTGATTAGCGTGCTGCTACTCTACAAACCAGGCAAACCTGCGTTCAATTCCTGACCAAGGCTAACGTCAGTGGCAATTACCTGAACCCGATCCGAGGTCTCCTCGAGGTGGTCTTGGCCTTAATTGAGTACCCGGTGTGGTATGTAAAACATCAGCACCGGGGAGACAAAGACGGCCGGGCGGGTGTTGAAAACCACCCACTTCATGGCGTGTCGTTGCAACACTTTCCCCAACAGTCCTTGCATCTATAGGGGGGGAATCTTCGTCTTCGCGTGTGCCCAAAAGGTTGCTTGTGTGTTACGCTCACTGCGTACACGTGTTCCCTATACGTACGTGTGTTGAAGTTCCAAGGAGGATTGTGCACTCCCCATTGTTTCTCACCATGTCCTTGCTGCTCTCTCTATACAACCGAAGTGTGATTGTGATCGTGCAACTCCAGCTGAGTACCACGCAGTAAACCGCCCGTAGTCCGTGCTCCTTCAACGGAGGAGGAGGAACAGCAGAACTGCACGAACTCTCTCCAGGAAGCCTTCTTGTGGATAGCAGACACATGGACATTGGCATTTACGAACTGAAACTAAACTACACTACACACAACTGTTTTCAAGAGCGAGAGAAGGAGGCTGGACGAGATGGATGGATAGAAGTATACAATTCAGCGATGGGCGCCACAGCAAAATGCACGTCGTCACTAATTTTGCTTTTAATAATAATCATAACTTAAACTTGTAAGGCCTCAACGGTGTTCACTCGCTCAGCAGAGCGACAACGACACAGACGAGTGGAGAAGGCAGCAGCCAGGTGGTGAGCTGCTGCCAAATTCACCCCCCTCGCCCCCCCCCCTCCCAAAGCTTTGCGGTCCTCTGTATATAAAGATGTTATCGGCCAACTAATGAGTGTTTACGTGTGAGAGGAAAACGTGAGCGACCGTGGTAGACCCACACTTGCGGGGAGGCAATACCACTCTATTCTGTACAGATGGGACAGGTGGAGTTTGCGTTTGCAGGACCGCGTTTTCCTGGGCAGAAGGAATATTGCATCTTGATGACGCCCACGGGAAGGGCGTTCACAGCATTTGTGCGATCCACCAACCCTTGCCTCCGCGTTACAGGCGTGCGTAGCTCCCGCTGCCCGGCAGATCTCGTGACGCGCGTGTTTTAAAGTTCTGTACAGGAAGTCCTCTACAGGAAGTCCTTCGCCAACAGGCTGTTTGCCTTTTGGCATTCCCTGGTCTAACACTGCTTGAGACTGCGCCCTAAAGAAGGCTGTCTCTGGTGTAGGCCAATCGGTTTCAAAGACAATGCCCATGTATTACCAGAGCATGTTTTTGTTTGCATGTTCACCTCAAGTACCGTGTGTGGTTAATGCAGACGTGATTCCCTGCAAAAGGCTTCTGTTTGGGTGTTTGAACATCTTAACACAACTGTTTTATTGCCAGAAAGGGTAGAACCTATTCGTATGCTTTTGATACTGGCAAGCAAGGTCCCAGGAAGTCCTCGTTTAACGCGATCGATGCATTCCTCTGCCGCGTCAAGAGGGCATTTCCTCATGAATGAAGTTCACGAAAAGCATTTGGCAAGATGTGATGTCCTTACACACACGCAGTCAGACGGCAGGACGAATAACTTGATGGTACTACCCCCCCGCGTTACCGTTTCATTCCGCGTACCGTATCACTGCGCCGCTCAGCCTCGCAGCGCTATAGCGGCGCGCGTTCTTCGTTGTGCGAAGAGTGTTCCCGCATGGAGGATGTAGCGAAAACTCGTTGTCGCGTGAGCACCCCACGCGTTAGGCGAGGACTTGCCGTATATAACGTTGACCCTGCTGTGCCCCCCTCCCCCCACTTGTCATCATGTGCACCCACCCCCCACCCCCCCGCTCGCCTTAAGCAAGGTCACACGACAGCAGCGTTGAATCAACTTAAAGCCACGTGCCACCCGAATGAAATTGTCACCCCTTGCTTTATAATCCACAGCCTGCGAATGCCATTGCCCGCTACCCCACAAAAGGCCAAGGCCCCCGTGTAGCCTTCACAGAATTTTGGGGCAAGTGCTGTGCATCACGGGGCAGTACGATTCAACGCTCGCCCCCTCCTCTTTGCGTGAACGCTGTGCACGTTGAACGTGTGTTTATTCAATTGCCCTTGCCCGCCCGTGTGCGCGCGCGCGCGTTTCTGGTGAGCTGTACAAAAGCGGCGGTGGGTGCTCTGTGCGGAGTGTACCATGTTTGCACGCGGTGACTGTGCGAACTCCGCTGAGCTCATTGCCCTGGACGTTCTGAAGGGGGGTAACTACTGCGCTGCTGCTGCTGCTGCTGCGGCAGTGCGATGCACAACTGCTGCGGTTTATCCCTGGGTTTGCCCTCTGGGTTTGTTCTTCCGCGAAGCTCGTGGTCCGCCCTAAATCGCATCCACTGCGTAAACCGTGGCAGATGCGGATACCTGATGCAGAAATGGAAAAATTCGCAACTCCTCGCAGTGCGCGACTGTGGTCATCCAGAACAGACCGTACAAGGTGCAACGGCGCAGCGCCCCCGATCCACCAATGCGAAGCAGACATCACGGCGATGACACACACTACTGCTCCTGACGCGGTTATCTGGCTTGACCGCCTGAATGTGAAATTTAAGTTGTTGCTCTGCATTTACATCAGCCCGTACGAAAGAAGAAAATGGTTTATTCTAGATTTGAAGCTTTCGTGACTGCAGGGACCCGTACTCCTTGGTTTTATTCGGTAAAGTCACGCAGGTAAGACAAATAAAATAAACAATTAAAACACGACGTTTCGGAGGCAACGCAAGCTTCCGTCTTCAGGTGGGACCAGTCACAGAAAATGGTTTTATTAATGATCCGATACTTTTCTTGTTTGAAGTGCTCTTTATTTTTAATCAAATTGAACTTCTAGGCACATCCCGATTCCTACGACCGCCGACGTTGTGATCTATTCTTGCGAGGATGTCCCCCTCTTGTCACAAAAGGAGCGCAGATGCAACAAGTCGCGTGAACGTACTTTCCCACGCTCCACGCGGGTTCATTTTGTGCGATTTCGTGCCGTATATGCGGGGAACCTATTTTTACACAATTCACTACATTGTGGGGTTTGAATTCACTCTAAATGTGGCTTTGCGGTCGGATGTGGGCCAACATGGTATTGTATTTGATACTCGGCAAGGAGTTTTCTCACATTGATATACACATTCAGAGATATCCAATACCCCGCCGTTCACCACTCGGTGGCGGTGACGTCACCACGGCGTCTGTGCCAGGCCGCCCAGGTCCACTTTGAGGCCACGTGAAGTGTCGAAGGCTCGCTGACATGAGGTGGTCACGGGTCCAGACCCAGGTGCCATGGACTGACTGACTGAGATGACTGGCAGATGCACCATCTGTTTCCCCTCCTGTGCAGAGATACACAGTGATGCATACGCACAGATACAGCATCGGGTGTATGTGTACTGTGTGGGCTACTCGGCGGGCAACTGTCTTGTGGGTTGGGTGACTCGGTCCGTTTCACGTAATTTCGCTTCGTGCCCATTTTTTGGAACACACCGCGTAAACCGAGGGGGAAACATGTCTTTTTTTTGTCTTCGATGTATCGGCGCCTTGCGTGGCAGAGCTATGCCCGACAGGCGGCACAGACTAATTAAAAATGTAATTGACTTGAACATCTCTGTGCTTCTCAACCTCGATTCATGTAAAGAAACACGTTCGGCGTTGCAAGTACAAGTTGCAAAAATTGTCCCCGTAGGGTTGGAGCAAACGGACACGAGGCCAGCATTGGTCTCGAGATGCCATGGCGAAATGTTGTGCAGAGTCAGTGGGTCACGTCCGTGTACTTCTCATGGTGTGGATTTTGTGATTAATGACCTCGTGATCACGTGTGTGTTCTTGTCGGCGTGTGCGTGTCCCCGTTTGTGTGCGCGTGTTTGTGTGTGTGTGTGCGTGTGTGTCGGTACACTTGTCATTTAGGGGCTGGAGAATCTGGAAAAAGCACCATCGTCAAACAGATGCGCATCTTGCACGTGAACGGATTCAACGCCGAGTGAGTGAACCTTGGGTCTGACACTCGCACACGCGTGTCCCTTACCGTGCTCACACAATCGCCCCGCAACACACTCACACCATCGCCCCGTAACACACTCACACCATCGTCCCGTAACACACTCACACCATCGTCCCATAACACACTCGCACCATCGTCCCGTAACACACTCGCACCATCGTCCCATAACACACTCACACCATCGCCCCATAACACACACCATCGCCCCATAACACACTCACACCATCGCCCCATAACACACTCACACCATCGTCCCGGAACACACTCACACCATCGTCCCGTAACACACTCACACCATCGCCCCATAACACACTCACACCATCGCCCCATAACACACTCACACCATCGCCCCGTAACACAATCACACCATCGCCCCATAACACACTCACACCATCGCCCCATAACACACTCACACCATCGCCCCATAACACACTCACACCATCGCCCCGTAACACACTCACACCATCGTCCCGTAACACACTCACACCATCGTCCCGTAACACACTCACACCATCGTCCCGTAACACACTCACACCATCGCCCCATAACACACTCACACCATCGCCCCATAACACACTCACACCATCGCCCCGTAACACACTCACACCATCGCCCCATAACACGCTCACACCATCGCCCCATAACACACTCACACCATCGTCCCGGAACACACTCACACCATCGCCCCGTAACACACTCACACCATCGCCCCATAACACACTCACACCATCGTCCCATAACACACTCACACCATCGTCCCGTAACACACTCGCACCATCGTCCCGTAACACACTCACACCATCGTCCCATAACACACTCACACCATACACACTCACACCATCGCCCCATAACACACTCACACCATCGCCCCATAACACACTCACACCATCGTCCCATAACACACTCACACCATCGTCCCGTAACACACTCACACCATCGTCCCGGAACACACTCACACCATCGTCCGGGAACCCACACCATCGTCCCGTAACACAATCACACCATCGCCCCGTAACACACTCACACCATCGCCCCATAACACACTCACACCATCGCCCCATAACACACTCACACCATCGCCCCGTAACACACTCACACCATCGCCCCATAACACACTCACACCATCGCCCCATAACACACTCACACCATCGCCCCGTAACACACTCACACCATCGTCCCGTAATACACTCACACCATCGTCCCGTAACACACTCACACCATCGTCCCGTAACACACTCACACCATCGCCCCATAACACACTCACACCATCGTCCCGTAACACACTCACACCATCGCCCCATAACACACTCACACCATCGCCCCATAACACACTCACACCATCGCCCCGTAACACACTCACACCATCGCCCCATAACACGCTCACACCATCGCCCCATAACACACTCACACCATCGTCCCGGAACACACTCACACCATCGCCCCGTAACACACTCACACCATCGCCCCGGAACACACTCACACCATCGTCCGGGAACCCACACCATCGTCCCGTAACACAATCACACCATCGCCCCGTAACACACTCACACCATCGCCCCATAACACACTCACACCATCGCCCCATAACACACTCACACCATCGCCCCGTAACACACTCACACCATCGCCCCATAACACACTCACACCATCGCCCCATAACACACTCACACCATCGCCCCGTAACACACTCACACCATCGTCCCGTAACACACTCACACCATCGTCCCGTAACACACTCACACCATCGTCCCGTAACACACTCACACCATCGCCCCATAACACACTCACACCATCGTCCCGTAACACACTCACACCATCGCCCCATAACACACTCACACCATCGCCCCATAACACACTCACACCATCGCCCCGTAACACACTCACACCATCGCCCCATAACACGCTCACACCATCGCCCCATAACACACTCACACCATCGTCCCGGAACACACTCACACCATCGCCCCGTAACACACTCACACCATCGCCCCATAACACACTCACACCATCGTCCCATAACACACTCACACCATCGTCCCGTAACACACTCGCACCATCGTCCCGTAACACACTCACACCATCGTCCCATAACACACTCACACCATACACACTCACACCATCGCCCCATAACACACTCACACCATCGCCCCATAACACACTCACACCATCGCCCCGTAACACACTCACACCATCGCCCCGTAACACATACCATCGCCCCGTAACACACTCACACCATCGTCCGGGAACCCACACCATCGTCCCGTAACACAATCACACCATCGCCCCGTAACACACTCACACCATCGCCCCATAACACACTCACACCATACACACTCACACCATCATCCCGTAACACACTCACACCATCGTCCCGTAACACACTCACACCATACACACTCACACCATCATCCCATAACACACTCACACCATCGTCCCGTAACACACTCACACCATCGCCCCATAACACACTCACACCATCGTCCCGTAACACACTCACACCATCGTCCCGTAACACACTCACACCATCGCCCCATAACACACTCACACCATCGCCCCGTAACACAATCACACCATCGCCCCGTAACACTCTCACACCATCGTCCCGTAACACACTCACACCATCGTCCCGTAACACACTCACACCATCGTCCCGTAACACACTCACACCATACACACTCACACCATCATCCCGTAACACACTCACACCATCGTCCCATAACACACTCACACCATACACACTCACACCATCGTCCCGTAACACACTCACACCATCGTCCCGTAACACACTTGCTGCCGTTTATTAACCTGGGTTCGGGTAAGGAACGGGGGTCCCTTAATAGTCAATCCTAGCCGTCGTGTTCTTTCTGTCTTCGAAGTTTCCAATGAATAACTTGCTTGGTTGACCTTCCCTGCCACCCATCCGCACCGTCGACTCTCTCCCCGTGTCCAAGTCTGGACTAAAGACCTTTCTCTTCGCCTCTGCCTATGGCCTACTCTCTTTTCTTCAAGAAAAAAATATTAGACTAATACAACAACAGCATCGTTTGTTTGGCCTGGGTCTTGGTGCAGTCTCTTTCCTTGCATGTACAGTAAAACCTTGGCTTGCGAGTAACTTGGTCTGCGAGTGTTTTGCAAGACGAACAAAATTTTTAAATAAATATTAATTTGATAAACGAGCGAGGGTCTTGCAATACGAGCAGTGTACGTATACGCTCTGTCTGCCGAGCGTCACGTGATCACAACTGATATACGAGTGCTTTGATATACGAGTGCTTTGGATTACAAACACGTTTCCGGAACGAATTATGCTCGCAATCCAAGGTTTTACTGTATTATTTTTTTCGTGTGAATATGCCAAGGACTTTCTTTCAGCCGGGTCTGCCCAGACCAGCGACCCGTAAAATATTTACACACACCCGGCACACCACATCCATTATGCATTTTCATTATGGCTGTGGCCTACTTGTGGACCCACCTACCTTACCTACCCTCCCTCCCCCCCCCACGATGTGCATGCCCCACTGTGTTGTACGTACGTATGTTGCGTAGCCAACCGTGCTAATCGGAGGTGCCATGCCTTGAGCTGTGGCCACGTTTATATGCCCTTTAAATCCCAATTGTGTTGTCATCATTTTAATAATTATCTTCTACGATGCAGTTACCTCCTTCGAACTATTTCCAGGTGTACCTTGGCGTACGCACGTGATAAGGCCCCGACGTGCGTGAATACTTTTGACTGAGTTGTAAGTGAATAATAAATACATTGAGTGAGGCCCACCGAACAAAACCGCTGGTCTCCCATGGATGAAAAAAAACGGAACCTCAGAATGAATTACCGCTTTTATAAACGGGAGGCCCTAATCGCTGGTCCCGAAAAAAAATAGTCTTGACGAAATGGGTGGCGTTAATATAGCCGTTGAGTTTTAATTGGCGGTGTAAAATTCTGTTGATACCGACACGCTACACCACACGCCTCATTGCGCATTTCTGTGCATTATTAGCGCGATGTGTGCTGGGTATTGTACGCGACGTGGGATGGATCGCAGGGCGTTCTGTGCGTGTAGCGGCCCTCTCCTCCTGACAGCCGTATCGGTGTACACGCCCGTCGCTCTTGCGTTGCCGTCTTTACGGTGAACCTTGCGAACCTACATGTGTGTCGCACGCCTTTGTCGGGCAGCGGCAGCGGTTGCACTGGCAGAGCATGGGATGTGAACTCTGTTTTGCAATGAGTAAAAATAAAATCTGCATATTTAAATCTGCAACCTTTCCCGTTCCGAGACGTCTGCAAGTTCAGGGTGGGTGTCCCGTTCACCGCTGAATCTCGGAATGCGCGAGCAGTTGGTGTAGAATTTATTTAGAGAGGCATAGCACCATTGTTTTTAAAGACAGTGTACTCACCGCAGAGAACTGCAGCGACACGACCGTCCTCTATTATAGCTGGTGTCAAACTGTGCCACAACTCCCTCCCGGATGGCTTCGTTGGAGCCTTGGTACGTCTTCCGACTTGAAGACATACCAATAAAGTTATTTTTTTTTCATCATCAGAATGGTGTAAAGGGTTAAGTTTATTTCTGTGATCATTAATAAGCATGGCGTGTGTGTGTTTGTGCGAGCGTGTGTCTTTGGAACCTTGGTACATCGCAATGAGATGTTTTTTTCTTTTACATCGATTATACAATTCCGGCTTTGCCAAAAATTACTGGCGGCATACGCATGCATCAATGCTATATGTGTGTACAGTCATCCCTTGTTTAACAAGCGCGCTAGCTGCATTCTGGAAGAGTGCCGTGTTAAGCGAAAACCACGTTAAGTAACGAACGACTTTTACTGCATCACATTTGCGCTACAGTATAAAATGAGCCTGCAGTCATCCCATGGCGGGACAAAGAACTAAGATGAGGATACGCCACGTACCGTATCGTTCTGCCTGCTGTATCGCTGTAACCGCTCAGCCGCGCAGCGAGCACCGCCACTTTATAACGGTGCTCGTAACGGTGCGAGTTCCGCGTCATGTGTAAAGTGTTCCCTGATGGAAGGAACCGTGTTACAGCGAAAACGCGTTGTGTGAACACCACGCATTAAGCGACGACCTACCATAATATGCAGATATGGGGATAACACCGAATCATCGGCGATCTGTTTGGTTTAGGCCACGTCATGAACGTAACAAACCTGTGTCGCGAGGAACCCTCCTGCAACCCGAGGTGGCCGCACAAATTAAATCGTCACGTGTGTGTGCGCGCGGACATTTCAACGTTTGCCAACTCCGATCGTTTCCACTCAAATGTGTCCGTAGTTGAAAATTTGGTTTGCTAGACTTTCGCCCTTCAACTGGAAACTATGTAAAAAATGTGGCGCTTTCAGGGCCTGTACGCCACGTGCCGGTCCCCTTCATTTTGGCCGTGTCGGGGATGGCGAAGGGAATTGACGACGCACATTCGTTCATGGCCCAACACCGCCAAATGAATCTGTTTTGAATCGTAACATCGGCGAGGGCGAAACCCACGTCTGCTGTTGTAGGGGTAGCACCGTTGGGCGGGTAGAGGATTCCTCTGGGGGTAACTGTCCTCGTTGGGCTGCTAGAGTACCCAACCCAACCGGCGAGGAGGGAGTGAGACATTAGCTATGGTTGCTTTGAAGATGTGCTGCCTCCCACCGTAGATATATGGAACTTGTGGGACGTCGCCGCTTCTCCTCTGCTGCCTCTTTAGTCTAGAACTCCTTCGCCACAATCTATCCGTGCTGTTGCATGTATGTTGAACTTCTTCCGCGCCGTGCGTAGCCAACCGTGCCGATGGGAGGTGCGGAGGAAGGACAACAAACTAAACGCAAAAGTAGTTATAAATAAACGAGTTTTCAATCTGGATTTAAAAGTGTACAGCACCAGTGGCTTCCGGTCCAAGACCAACACCTTCCTCTTCTCCTCTTGCCGCGTGCGGTTCCGGATCCGCAGGTTGCTGTCCCCCGCGCGTGACTAATATAGCCTCGGCCATAGCGATGGGGGGGGGGGATATACTGGATGTGGTGTTCCGTTGTATTCTTGCATTGAAGCTGAGGGTCGCGCGAGCGGTCGAGGCACGTGGCGCGAAACTCACACCGAGCAACTTCCTCTCTCCGCAGCGAAAAGAAACAAAAAATTCAAGATATCAAGCGGAACATCAGGGATGCTATTGTGGTGAGTGTCGGCGGCATTCATCACCCTGAAGCTATCATTGTCATTGCGTTCATTCTAAATGTGAAGAGAAAAACCGGAGGACCCGGAGAAAATTCCACATGACCACGGGGAGGGAGACGCGCAAACTCCAAATATACAGGCATCGTCAGGGTCGCGATCGGAATCACGACCCCCTGTATACCCGGCGAGGAAGATGACATCTCGCCACTGCGGTGCCCAAAACGTCGCCTATTTGTACTCCATTTCTTTCCTTTAAAGCCACACACACACACGCAGTGCGATTGACGAACGTGTTGAGTGGTGTTGTTGTATATTTTTTTCTGCCGTTGCCCTGCTTGATTTGGGCCAGCGCGGTTCTGAGTGCCGGTGTCCGCGTGCGGTGTCCGCGTGCGGTGTCCGCGTGCGGTGTCCGCGTGCGGTGTGGGCTGTGCGGTGTGTGCTGTGCGGTGTCCGCTGTGCGGTGTGTGCTGTGCGGTGTGTGCTGTGCGGTGTGTGCTGTGCGGTGTGTGCTGTGCGGTGTGTGCTGTGCGGTGTCCGCTGTGCGGTGTGTGCTGTGCGGCGGGCGCGTCCCGTACCCGCCACGCCGCGGTGCTGCGTCTTTATTGATCGTGCCGTGTCGGCATCGGGCGTAGTAAATTGTGGCAGCTTTGTGGCACAAATTGACGGTCTAAATGTAATGAGATGGCACAGCCAGAGTAAGCCGCGACCAATCTCCGTCGTATTTTCAAGGCACCTGCGTGCGTTGAGGTTGTTTGCCACCTCCGGCATGAGGTGTTGGCGGCGGATATTTTTAAAGATTACGCAATCGGGTTTACCCGCATCCACTCATGTTTGCAATGCAATCAATGCGTGGATAGGCAACGCTCGCTTCATCAGCTGGCAGCGGTGCCACTTTGCTGTCACGTATTGTTACGCCGCCCTTGCGTTTGTAATGTAATGTGCGCGATTGGTCTCGCGCGGTGGTGTGGCGCGTGGGTGGCAGGGCGGGACTTGCGAGGCGTTTTGTTTGTTGGTAATTGAGGAGGGTGGGTTTCGGGGGCATGGTACGTGGTGTTTGTGCTGTGTACGTTGTTTGTGTTGTGGTTAACGGGGTGTGGCTTGTGGTGCAAGGTGTGTGGCGTGCGTGTTACACGTGTGTGTGTGTGTAACATCGTATTGGCACGTGGAAATTCACTTCCCAGCGATTTGGACGAATTATAACAATGTGAATTTCGATTGAAGGGTGGATTCTTTCTCGTCTCATTTCTACCGTTTCGTTTGTATTGTTTCACGTCTGTTGGTGCAGCGTCGCTCGCTCCGTTAACCTGAAGCGTGAATCGAGACGTATGACTTGCCATGTATTGGAATCGGTTCTCACACGCACCGCTCGGTCCATGAATTGAGAGCTTGGCAATCGATTCTAATCGATGCATGGATGCCTCCATACGTGCCACACACACGTGGATCATGGTGTCTAATGGCATGGTGCGCGCGGTGAGTGTTGCATGGTGGTTGGTACATAATACAGGGTATGTAGCGTCTGTACCCGGTGTCCGATGCATGGTACGCCGTGCGTGCGCGCACGTGCACGGGCGGTTAAAACGCGGAAGTTGGCACAGTCGGGAGCACGGTTGCTGCATCTGCCAGTCATCTCAGTCTCCCCGCGGCACCTGGGGCTGTCCCGCGACCTCCTCCTGCCAGCGGGACTTCACGTGGCCTCAGAGCGCACCTAGCCTGGCACAAACGCCGCAGTGACGTCACCGCCACTTTGTGGCGAATGGCGGTTGCTGTTGTTGTGCGCGCGGCGTGCGACGACGAATCGGTACGCGGCACACGATGCATGGCGTGTGACGTACATGGCGCCGAGCACGACGTGCAATGCGCGTGTACGTGGCGCGCAGCGCACGGCGTGCCGCTCCCCGTGGTACACCAGTACACCGTGCGTGGGCGCGTCGTGCTGCGGCGTGGCTAAGCGTCCGAACTATTGTGGCGGTGGTGGCGGTGCGCGTGGCGTATGCAGGCCATCACGAGCGCCATGAGCACCCTGGTACCGCCCGTGGCGCTCGCGAACCCCGAGAATCAGATGCGCGTCGACTACATCCAGAAGGTCGCGTCGCAGCCGGACTTTGAGCTCACGCAGGTAAGCGGCGGCCCAACCCCCCCCCGCCCCCCCGTGTGGTCGCCCGTCGCGTTTACCTCCCCGCACCGCGTCAGGTCCTGCTCATCCCGCGTCGTCGTAAACGAAGACCTCTGTTGCGTCAGCCGTCGACGACGTTGAAACGACGACTGAAATAAAACTTATTCTTGGGTCTTTCGGTAAAGTCACGTAGATAGGTTCAAAGAAAATTATAAGAACCTACAGTGAGGGAAAAAAGTATTTGATCCCCTGCTGATTTTGTACGTTTGCCCACTGACAAAGAAATGATCAGTCTATAATTTTAATGGTAGCTTTATTTGAACAGTGAGAGAGACAGAATTACAACAACAAAAATCCAGAAAAATGCATGTCAAAAATGTTATAAATTGATTTGCATTTTAATGAGGGCAATAAGTATTTGACCCCTCTGCAATACATGACTTAGTACTTGGTGGCAAAACCCTTGTTGGCAATCACAGAGGTCAGACGTTTCTTGTAGTTGGCCACCAGGTTTGCATACATCTCAGAAGGGATTTTGTCCCACTCCTCTTTGCAGATCTTCTCCAAGTCATTAAGGTTTCGAGGCTGACGTTTGGCAACTCGAACCTTCAGCTCCCCCCACAGATTTTCTATGTTATTAAGGTCTGGAGACTGGCGAGGCCACTCCAGGACCTTAATGTGCTTCTCTTGAGCCACTCCTTTGTTGCCTTGGCCGTGTGTTGTGGGTCATTGTCATGCTGGAATACCCATCCACGACCCATTTTCAATGTCCTGGCTGAGGGAAGGAGGTTCTCACCCAAGATTTGACGGCACATGGCCCCATCCATCGTCCCTTTGATGCGGTGAAGTTGTCCTGTCCCCTTAGCAGAAAAACACCCCCAAAGCATAATGTTTCCACCTCCATGTTTGACGGTGGGGATGGTGTTCTTGGGCTCATAGGCAGCATTCCTCCTCCTCCAAACACGGCGAGTTGAGTTGATGCCAAAGGGCTCCATTTTGGTCTCATCTGACCACAACATTTTCACCCAGTTGTCCTCTGAATCATTCAGATGTTCATTGGCAAACTTCAGACGGGCATGTATATGTGCTTTCTTGAGAAGGGGGATCTTGTGGGCGCTGCAGGATTTCAGTCCTTCACGGCGTAGTGTGTTACCAATTGTTTTCTTGGTGACTATGGTCTCAGCTGCCTTGATCATTGACAAGATCCTCCCGTGTAGTTCTGGGCTGATTCCTCACCGTTCTCATGCAACTCCACGAGGTGTGATTTTGCATGGAGCCCCAGGTCGAGGGAGATTGACAGTTTTTTTTGTGTTTCTTCCATTTGCAAATAATCGCACCAACTGTTGTAACCTTCTCACCAAGCTGCTTGGCAATGGTCTTGTAGCCCATTCCAGCCTTGTGTAGGTCTACAATCTTGTCCCTGACAACCTTGGAGAGCTCTTTGGTCTTGGCCATGGTGGAGAGTTTGGAATCTGATTGATTGATTGCTTCTGTGGACAGGTGTCTTTTATACAGGTAACAAGCTGAGATCATGAGCACTCCCTTTAAGAGTGTGCTCCTAATCTTAGCTCGTTACCTGTATAAAAGACACCTGGGAGCCAGAAATCTTTCTGATTGAGAGGGGGTCAAATACTTATTTCCCTCATTAAAATGCAAATCAATTTATAACATTTTTGAAATGCGTTTTTCTGGATTTTCTTGTTATTCTGTCTCTCACTGTTCAAATAAACCTACCATTAAAATTATAGACTGATCATTTCTTTGTCAGTGGGCAAATGTACAAAATCAGCAGGGGATCAAATAATTTTTTCCCTCACTGTATCTATGTGACTTTACCGAAAAACCCAAGAATATTAATCCCTGCAGTCACGAAAGCTTTAAGTCAAGATGAAATAAAACGTTCGTTATTTGTTCATTATTGAGCGAAAATATTAATTCCCTCTCGATGGGCTCTGTAGAGCACCCTCATGGTGGAGGCTCCTTCACGTCAGCAGTGGTATGAGCAAGCAATTGCAGGGTTTCACCTTTACCTAAAACATTTTGTAAATAGTGCTCCATTCATGATGCTTCCGGCATCAGTGGCGTGAGCATTTTTATAGATACCCCACTACAACAAAAATCATAAGAGGAGAGCAACGTTTGTTTGTATATATTTTTCCTGTACTCTACACGCCTCCCGTCAATGTCATCTCCCATCGCTCGCCGGCCGTGACGTTGCCCCCCTCCCCCCCCCCCCCCCCCCCCCCGGGGTCTGGTCATCGCGTCTCAACGCGTGACAGCGTCGCGGGTGGTGGCGAGCGCTCGCTGCGGTTATCCGATCGTTGATCTAAGCGGCTTGGAGTCGTGGACGCTGCCGCTCTGGGTCTGCTGCTCCTCCTCAGCAGGGCCCCCTTGTTAGGGTGGGGTTGGGTATGGGGGGGGGTGTGTGGGGGATCCACTGTTGGGGGGAACCAGGGTGGTGGCGAGAGGCGGTGGAAGCGGTGGATGCTGGCTCGAGGACGCCGTGAGAAGGGGAAGTGCGGTGAGTAATAGGCAGAGCGGTTATTTTTTTATTATTATTATTACTCAAGCGAAGTTAAAATAGCGCCACGCACCGCTTTGCCCCCCCCACCCCCGCCCGAGGTTACGGTTTCCCAATTTCCAAACGTACGGCGGAGTTGACGCCCCCCCAGCCTGTCGTCCGATGCCATTCCTCGCTTCAATCTGCTGGCTTGTGTACGTGCCGCGGGATTCGGGAGCTCTGGCCCGAGTCGGATTTCAGAATCAGAATTTATTTATTTAGTAGAGAATAGACGAGAAATCCGATGAGCGACAAAGCTCTTTGTCACAGATATCCCGTGGGGGGGGTCAGGGGGGGGGCACGGGATCAAAACGTTGCAACAACGAATAATACAAAAAACAGGATTGTAGTGCTAAGTATAGGCAAGGTTAACGAACCTTCCACTCACGACTCAAGCTCCTTCTGTCCCGACAAATCTCGCTCCCCCTCCCCTCTACGCTCCGCACCCCATAACCCACCCCGCACCCTCCGTGCTCGACTTCTCGGGATCATGGTTCATCTCCAACACATTGCTCATCCACTGCCAGATGAAGGCTCTCTCTGGTGACGGTGTTGGTCATGGGGGGGGGGGGGGGGGGGGCTTGTTTCAGCCATGCTTCACCGTGGTTGGTGAAGCTGTGGGTGGGGGGGCGACCTGGGACCGGTTTAGATATCGCATGCAACTGGTGTTAGCCACGGACGGGAATCGAACTGGGTTCGGCGCGGGTTTACAGCGCGTGGCGCACGAACCGCCGCTCGCCCCTCCCCACCTCCCAGTAACTCGGCAAGCGTCGTTGAAGCGGACTCCCTCTGCCACCCCCGTCGCCTGTTTACCTGAACCAATCACCGGGTAGCAGTTCAACGTCGCGTCCGTGGAGATTGACATAAGAAGTTCAACGTACATATGCGCGTAACTTGCGTGCCTGCTAAAGTGGTGAACTATTTGTCCTTTATATTCTTGGTTCTTTCGGTAAAGTCACGTAGAAGGGAAACAATAAAATAAAAACTATAAAACAATAGAATTTTATTGTTTTATAGATTTTTTTATTATTTTATTGTTTCCCTTCTTCGTGACTTTACCGAAAGAACCAAAAATATGAATCCCTGAAGTCACGAAAGCTTTAAATAAAAATGTATTTGTCCTTTGTAAACGTGACACATTTTTTTACTGTTTGGCCGTGTCGGATGGTGGAGGGTTACGACACATTTATAAATAACGCGATCTAAGCCAAAAACCTTTATTATGAATAATATTGGTCGCGAAAGCCTACTACGTGTTAAACTGTCTGCTACTGTACCGAATTAACAGGTCGTTCCATTCCCTGAAAGCGTTGCCAGCCAGCGCTGGGTTGTCTCTCTGATCTCTCCATACCGTGACTGGCTTAATGAGCTCCTTCCTTACGAGCCAAACCACTGCAAGGCCATACATGCCACGTATGTGATAATGGTGGTGGTATCATGTACGAGTCGCTCTTTGTGGTTTACTGCACGTCGACTGAGCAAGAAAGACGAATAACGACAGTTAAGCCCGCTTCGGTTGTGTGGGGGCTGTGTGACCATTTTTCACCACCCTCTGTCACCACAGGTTGGTGATGGGGTAGGCGGGGGGGATCCCGGACTAGTTTCAGATATCACTCGCCACCGATGTAACGCCGCCCCGGTTGGGACGCGTGCGTCATATTACAGTGCCACGCGCGTGCTCGCACACCACCGCACCACCACTCCGCCCCTATAGGAATAGCTGGGTAGGAATTTGAGATTGCGTTACTGTGGTGAAACGATTGAGGTTAGCCGAGTTGGCGGTGATATTGCGCGCGGTCCACCGTGCTAACCTCGGCCTGCGCCGCCGCGGCGTATTTTTCCGTCGCGTCGTTTGTCCCCCGTCCGTGCGAGAGACGCTTCGCGAAGACGAAAGCTGAGATCCTTGTCCCGGGGTGCGCCTGCTGCCTCAGCTGTCTCGGCGCTTGCGGGCGACGCAGGAAGGTTGTGGTGTGTCCCCTACTCCGCGGAAACCTGCGATACCGTCCTATGGTACCGCAAGAGGAGTAGTACTTTTCAAGGAGGTGCAGGGAAATGTTTGCGTTTTGCTTTTCCATAGCGCGCTCCGTGCAGCGCATCTCAGGCCGCGTTTGCGATGAAAACTGACGGTTGATCAGTCCAGCTCAAGGATAAGCTCGTCCACAAACCGATGGTTTTATTTTACTCGACTTATAAGATTCGACTGCACCTGGATTCCTCCCGATAAAGACTTTGGACGGGGCGAGTTCCCAAGACGGGGGAACGTCGTGGCAGAAGTATCCCCGGAGCATCGTGGACAAGTGCTGGCGTGCGCGCGCGCGCACACACACTCACTCGCGTTGGCCCCGCGTTCAAACGCACCCACCCGCCGAACCCAACCCCTTTTTTTCCATGCCCTCTCTCCAGTGCTCCCACCCACCCCCTATCACTCCCTCCACCCAGTCGT